GGGGGGGGGGGGGGGGGGGGGGGGGGGGTTACAGCGCTTCTATGTCCTCAATAAGATTCGCGGGCAACTAGAACCCATTCCTTTCAATAGCAACTTTCGTTTTTCTTACTGCTCTCAAGTCTGCATGGCGTTTTTTTACCACTCTCACCTTTCACATTCCAGCTTTTCACGCATAATAAGTGGTTCATCCACCGCGGTTCGTCCTTGGTGGTTCGTCTTCTCCTTTCGGGAAAACTCATTCCCCAGGAGGTGAGCTTCTCGAAGGGAGGGAGGGGGGACGGCTGTTCTTTGCACCTTTCGATGCCTTAGCAGCAGTCCTTTATGTCTCCGCACTCTGGCCTTTCGCAGCTCGCGGCGACTTTGACCGTGTGCGCTCTAAGCCCTAGTTGGAGGGGAAACAGCAGCGCTGTTCGCTTACCAGCAATGATTTGTCGCCATTACTTCGTCTTATTTAGGAATCGATCCCGACGATACTTTGGATGAGCAGCGAACGGATCAGCTTGGCATGTTCTCAGTGACGGGAACGACACGTGAAATGACTCCAATAGATCCAGTGCTCTACATATGGCACGAATGCCGGGACGAACAGAGTGTGGGTTGGCAAAACTTTGTTCAGTTTTGGGAGAACCAGAGGTTTCTACCACGTCACCATGCGCCTGAACAATTACTCCTGCAAATGCAAACGGCAGTTGCGACTAGTTAGCAGCTGCGACCAGTGGTGTCATATATTCTGCTTTCATACTTTGTGAGTGGGAGAATCTGCGATTCAGGAAAATATGCTAATCCTGAGAATCTGTGGCGAGGGAGTAGTTGTGCAGTCTACAATAAATTAATCTCTCTGTCTCACTCCTGAGTGTATACAGGGGGGCCAAAAAAAGTCACTTTTCTTCATTGACTTTCGAGGCGCTATAAGTTACACTTTATTGAATTCTGATCGGACATTTCTACCACCATATTAAAGAGCATATTAAATACTATCATGACACTCCGCCACAGCCTTCTGGACGAGCGCCATCGAGAGATTCTGGCACGCGACCGCGATGTGGTGAGATCAGCGAGATAGTCGATTTCTCCGCCACCGTAGACCACCCTATTGAACTCCGCCCGAACCGGGTAATTGAGGGGATTCAGGTCAGGTGACCTACTTGGATATTCCATCTTCTTTACATCTCATGCGGTGAAGATGATGTCCTAAACCGTGGCGACG